CCCCAGCGTCTGTCAGCGTCTCTCTCCCAGCCAGCGTCTGTCAGCGTCTCTCTCCCAGCCAGCGTCTGTCAGCATCTCTCTCTCTTCTCCCCCCGATAATCCGCCCCCAACGTCGGTCAATCAGTACTACTAAGTACTAAGCCCCCTCCCCCTCCTTACCTTTACGTCCAGCAGCTGTGCTCCACTGCTGCTGGGTAAAAGAAAGTTCAGTCAAAGTAAAAAAAAAAAAAAAAACCTTCCTGCGCACACATGCTCAGGAAGGTACCAAGTGCACAGGGGGGCCGCGACCTTAAAAACGACACTACACTGCATATTATACATTAAACTGAAATAAAACAATCTAGCTTGGAGCCCAGACCTCCTCAGCCCCTCACACAAGTACCGGCCATACCCCCCTCATGGCGGTCCTGGCCAGGGACTCGGATCGCGACCCCCCTGTTCACTTGCGGGACCCCATATTGGGTCGCGACCCACACTTTAAGAAGCACTGAACTAGACTTAACAGTGTGTGGTCAGTCAACGGCAGGGGTGTATATGACATGAAATAATTATATAGCAAGTAGACCTAAAGCAAAATCAAAGTGAAGAGAGTACATGATACCAGGTAACTCACGGGGCTCCAGTGAATGAATGAAATGGCAAGGGACCATGGGTAAGGTAAATATCAGAATTAGATAGAATTTACTATGACGTAAATCTGTTACTTGCCCTGTATAAACAAAGTACAGGTTTGCTTAAAAGACATCAGCCAATTAGCTGCTCTTCCTGGGCTCCTATCTTCCTACTCCACCATGCCAAGTATTACAAGGATTATTTAGCAATATTATAGTAATTTTTGTGACTGCATTATTATGTGCACATTTTGTGTTTTTGCAATTTATTATGATCTTTGTTGTTTTACCTTGACTTCTAAGGATTGCATTTGCATGTACCTTAGTCTTCTTGGGTTTATATTTTTACTATTTAACTAAGACCCTTTATCCTTCACATAAGCATTCACAGACTTCTATAATGTTGGAAAATGTTGGCACATATTTGGAAATAGTTTTTAGAGTATTTTGATTACTGAAATACATATATTGCCTTTATGATATATAAAGCAATGCGCTCACAATACAATATACTTGTATTTAATATAAACTGTTGATACTGCTTTGTTGTCTATACTTTGGTGTACATGCCTTCACAATGCAGGTTTGTCTTTTCTGCAGTCATCAAATCACTACTTCCATGGTTATTTTCTTGTACCACACTAGTCTCCTGTAATTGCTGTTCAGAAGAAGGGGTGCACCCTGTAAAAAATAAACACATATTAAGTTATGTGGTTGACAACTAGGGTTAGTATGTTTAAGGTGAACAAATAATCAACAGAAGGCAACAGGATATGTCTTACTACAAACTGTCTGCAATCGGCTTTATTCAATAAAGACCTTTTATTCCTAGGTAGATATTAAAAAGGCCCTTGTCCCTTGTACCCAATCAGCATTCATTTTCTCCAGCACTAACTTCAGCACAGTTAACACCGATTACTTCATAGCTACTGAATATAATACTATATATAAGAACTCTGAATTGAAGCTCAGAACTCTTAATTGGGCAGCACAGTGGCGTAGTGGTTAGCACTCCTGCCTCACAGCACTAGGTGTCCCCAGTTCAAATCCTGGTCAGGACACTATCTGCAAGGAGTTTGCATGTTCTCCCTGTGCTTGCGTGGGTTTCCTCCCACTCTCCAAAGACATCCTGGGAGGTTAATTGGCTCCCGTCTAAATTGGCCCTTGCATGTGAGATAGGGACCTTAGATTGTAAGCTCCTCGAGGGCAGGGACTGATGTGAATGTGCAACTATGTAAAGTGCTGTGTAAATTGTCGGCCCTATATAAATAAATGCCTGTATTAAATAAATAATAAAATAGTGCATATGTATGCATAGCAGGCAAGGCTCCATTTATGCGGTAAATGGAACTAAAAGCCAATTTCCACCTTTGCAGAGGTAATAAAAAAAAAAAACATGTGCCAACAATGTACAGTGAGTGTGCATGATGCAGCTGCTGTATATGAACACAGGAACCTACTTTTTTTGTCCTTTTCATCTCTCTCATGGCTTTTTGAAATGGCTGGCTCTGCTTGGTAAGCAGTCTGTGTAAACTAACGCGCTCTCTCTGAGCTCTCTCCCTCTATTCATTAGTATTCATAGTGGCAAACCTCCCTTCCCCCAGACAGTGTATTGAGACCTGGAAAGGCAGAGCTGTTGTGCAGCTTATTACAATGACTCACAAGGAAAGGGTCAGCTGCTTTACAATCCAACCCATGTGTCAGACGGAGTTTCTCAGGCCTACTAAAATGTCCATTAAAACAGTTAAGAAAGCCAGCAATGTGAGTCATGAAAATGTACACACATATACAGAATCACTGCACCTCTAGATTATCACAGTGATTGGTAATCACTTACAAGGGTGGAAAGAGGCTGTAAAGCTAGGCTGTAAATAGAGAGTAATATTTATTTATAATATATATAAATATGTATATTTATATAGGGCCAAGCTGAAGAAATGTAAGTATACATATTTATACCAGGTAGGACCACAGGGATCCTGTAAAACACTGTAGTAGCCGGACATACTAAAATGCTTTACAGCAATCTTCCAGGTCCTGTGATGGTACTGCGCTGAGCAACTTCCCATAAGCTATGAAACAGAGAG